GAGCGACCGCAAAGACCTTATCCTGGCTTTATCTCTTTTCAGTGAGAGCCAGCAGACAGGATAAAGCCTCCCAGATGAGTCTACGGTGACAGGCCTGCTGTCTGAGCAAGAGCAATGGATGCCAAACTTGGCAATGACTGAATAGTGTGAGGAGTGAATTGAATGAGTGATTGTGACAGCTTTACTGAGGTACTTTTGGCTCAATTGGGAGAATGTCTGGTCCTTTTTTCACGGGTCTCTGTCTTTCTTACACTTTTTTAAAATTTATAATCCAACCTCTAAATCTAAAATATATATTTTATTTCCAATTTTTAATGTTCACCTTCATGTCCTTCCGTGAGTATCACTTTAGTCTTTTCCAGCCGCTCCCTTTCTTTTCTACAGGACATCTCATGCCTCCATTCCCCTTTCCCTATTGTGGTCACATGAGTACCACCTGAACAGCACATTGCTATGGCAACCCCTTTTCCCTACCATGGTATAATGGAAGTGCTCCCTGTAATACACCATTCTGGTGAAACAATATTCACACACATGCATGCAGTGGAAAGAGAGTGAGAAGACAAGGGGTATGCCTGTTTGTGTGTGTGGTACATGTACAGCTATCCTTGTGGGGACACATTGTTCTTGTAGGGACATTTTCAAGTCCCCATGAAGGAGGAGGGTTTATTTTGAGGTTGAAGATTTAGTTTATAGTTAGGATTAGAATTAGGGGCATACATTTTTAATGGTTAAGGTAAGGGGTCAGGGAATGCATTACTGTATGTCTTTTTGAAGTCCTCACAGCTCAACCAAAACCAGACTCTGCTTGTGTTTTCAAGAGAAAGAAACTGTGACGTGAGAAGAGAAAAGAGTGAATGTGTGAAAGAAAGTGGATATAAAAAAAGAACCCAGAGTGTATGTTGTTAAATGTTGTGTATCTTTAGCACATTCAACAACTTGTAATTATATTCACTACACTAGAAATGACTCTGTGAGTTCACATCTGCATTCTGTAATTTCTAAATGACAGAGAAGGCAAGAAGGGAGGTGACACCTGCTGGTCAGAAAAAAACAGCATTCAGTGACTCATCACACAGGAGTCTCCAAACTTTTCACACAGGGAACCTGATGACTAAGCAATCACACTCAACAGGCATGTCAAGAAAGACAGGCAGGCATAAAAAAGAGACAAAAATGTCAGTACAATGGTGAATATGTTTTTTGTGATTATGTTTCTGCTGGCACCGTGAGAAGAATAGTTTGAAAATATTTTCCCGGAACTTTCACTGTCATGGTGATGCAAGCAGGCAGTGTAAAAAAAGAACAGTTGGATTCGCTACTCTAAAGGTCCTTGAACCATACGGTGTAAATATGTTATTCTTATCTTTTAACTTCCAGTCCTGTCTCAGTTCTGCTCCCTTTGCCTGTTCTTACTCCATTATTCCTAGGCCTTTACGTGCCTGGCTCTTTTTTTTAAATCATAAACGTCTTCCTAAATAAATCAGCTTGAATTTACCCTTCATCTGTTCCCGTCTTCCATGAATCTCTCTGCCTCATATATTCGTGGATGTGTTGGTGCAGATTCACTGCAGCAAAGTCATAATCACTGGGTGCCACCAGAATTCAATACTTTCTTCATTGTCATTGTTGTTTTCCTCAGACATTAACATCTAAAAACAATCACATATTATAAAAGTACTGACACAACTTGCAGCACCTATACAGATTTATATAAGCAGGGACTTCTATTGCATTAACACAATAATCATACACTACCCAACCAGAAACCTAAAAATGTGTGATGCACACACAATAAACTTTTCATTTACAGAGATGTGTTCAGAAACATACAACACAAAGTGCCGAATCATGGGAAAAAAATAATTCTACTACAATAAGAGCTACTTCAGTTAGGGGCTACATTTAGGCATTCACAATGGAGTTAGACCTTAAAGTTCATCCATCCATTTTCTTCCGCTTATCCATTACCGGCTCACGGGGGCAGCAGTCGCCACCCAAAACACACTGCAACGAACCAACACCCCTAAACCTTACCGTGGTGGGTGAGTCCACTGGAAGGTACCAACCGCCCTAACCGGGATTCCATCCTGCCCAGTAGTTAAACCCTGGAGTTCTAAACCAATGACAGAGACATTGCCTCTGGGCCAAAGCACCACTAGACCTTAACGTCCAGGAGAAAATAAAAAACATTACAGCTCATTTACATGTTGTTCAGCCAAGGACATGATGACACACAGCTACAGTCACAGCAGCCTGGCCTTTTTGGCCAGTACAGTTAAGTGTGACCCTGATAATGTTACAGGACGAGGATTATGGAATATACTGTTCTCCCCAAAGAACCCCTTTTTAAGGTGTTTAGGTGTTCTCTTTCAAGGTTAATCATCAGAAACATCGGTTGGTTAGAACTGAAGAAGCGGCTTGGATAAGAGGTGAAACCTTTCAGAAAAAACCTACCAGCCCAGTTGCTCTTGACATAACTACTTTTGAACAAGATGACCTGGATGGCTAAAAACCAACACAAATATGGAGTTAATACAGGCTACTAAAAATTGGGGAACAGTAATTTATAGACTGATATCTGGTCTGATAAAACAGAAAAAAGAAACATGACAATGTCCTCACTTTTTTTTTCACTCTGCCCCCCGTGCCCTGAGTCTTTCTCTGATGCATTAAATGTTTCAAGTCTGTTTTTGACCCTGTCTCGTCATCTGACCCTTTCAAACTGACGTCTTCCCACCTTCCTGTCCCTGTCATGTCTGTAGGTGTTGACAGGAGAGGGCAAATGATTTCCCTCAGTAACCACCGGTGGTTGTCATCTAATGCTGAGAAGCAGAGTAGGAAGGCTCCTTCCCTTCAATGTTAGTCTCCTGTTGTACAGAGAGCTAAGGATAACTTTGCTTATTCACTTTTTCAGTATTCCATGTTTGCAAACAACTGTGAATAAGGGGATTCTTTGTTCTACTATGTGTGTGCAGGGGATGTAATGTGGGCAGGAGCTGTTGCTAGGCATCCTCTACCTTGTTGTAAGGTGAGGAAGATAGTGCTGGGAGGATACAGTGAGATACAGTGAGAAAAAGCCCAATACAGTGAAGGAAGGAAGTTCACTGGTGCCTGAACCAAGAAGAAACCGCAGAAAACTGACAAACACACGTGCATGCACACACAAACACATTGAATGTGTAATATGTTTCTTTAAAAATGAATTGTTCATGAAGTTAAGAGGATTAAATGTTTTGCAAGTTTTTCCAGTAAAATTATTTTTTTAAACCTATATGAGAGATGAGTATTTGCAGCAACAAATCAACAACAGAGTCAACGTAGGACACTCTGTCCATGGGCCTGGACTAGTGGGTGATCTGCCTCCCCCAGGCCTCGTTGGCGCAGTAGGCAGCGCGTCAGTCTCATAATCTGAAGGTCGTGAGTTCGAGCCTCACACGGGGCAATTCTTTTATTTTCATGAGAATACAATGATTACTAACATTCTTAGAAATATACTGCTAAAATAAGATCAGGCTTTTTTGTACTTTGTACTATTTTTTCAACAACTTTGTGATTAATATGTGACAAGCCGGACTGGAGGTGAAACCGACATCCTGAAACCTTGTGAGTAAATTACCTGATAAATTTACCATAGTAACCTACCACTGAGGTTATGTTAAGATTTGACCTGAAGTTTTCTACCAATAACCCACAACTGAAAAAGTATCTGAAAGAAGAAAAAGAAGTTGAATGGTTTCAAAAAAATTGGTAACGTCCTAGTATGTGTTCTTAACTAAACCCCATAAGCCCCAAACTTTTCACAGGCCTCGTTGGCGCAGTAGGCAGCGCGTCAGTCTCATAATCTGAAGGTCGTGAGTTCGAGCCTCACACGGGGCACGTGCTTTTGAAAGGTACAGAAACTTTTTGAATAGAACTACTGAAATTCATGGACGACTTAGGCGTAAGTATTGAGAGCCGGAACAATTCCACCAGCTTCCAACAAACAAAATTCCATTCAATAATACGTATTTTTGACCGCGTATAACAAAGTTACTTATGTGTTGTCTTGATAAACATCTGGTTACCAAAACTTGCCAGCAATCCACCAGTCCATGGCCCTGGACTAGCGGACAGGTTGACACCCACAGGCCTCGTTGGCGCAGTAGGCAGCGCGTCAGTCTCATAATCTGAAGGTCGTGAGTTCAAGCCTCACACGGGGCATGGTTTTTAAAAACTACTCAAAAATTAATTGAAATTGAACATTTGAATTTTACTGTTTAATTCAACATTCAAATAAAGTCATTTTCGTGGGAATACAATGATTACTAACATTCTTAGAAATATACTACTAAAATAAGATCTGACTTAATGTTAAGGGAGAAACCCAAAATTGGTAGAAAGAAAAGGCATTCTTTAATAAAGTGGAACCTCAAGATACGAGCATAATCCGTTCCAGGAGCGTGCTCGTAACTCGAGGTTCTCGTATATCTCCAATCATTTTTTCCCATAAGAAATAACAGAAAAAGGTATAGAGAACTATGAGAATGAGAGAATGCTATAGAAAACTACACGCACTACAAAAAGGATTCCTGTGATATAAAATAAAATGGGGTTTTAATTATGAGTTCTTACTTTCGAGACAGACGATACAGTAGGGGTAGGCTTACGGAAATCGGTGAACACATGAAGTAAACGAGTGAGGCGGCATGACCTGCTCCGAGTGCTCGGCCACCTAGCATCAGCGTCTGTAAGCGTGCTCGTATCTCAAATCGTATTTCGAAGCAAAAATTTGCTTGAAGACTTACTCGTATCTCAAAATACTCCTAAATACTTGTATCTTGAGGTTCCACTGTACTTGGTACTACCGAAGCACCTTGGTCAGTACCATTATAGAACCAAAGTTCGGTACTCAGCCCTAAATCCAGAACACGGGCCTGCTTCTTCTGTAAACCGTTTTTAAATTACTTCTAGGATGGTTAAGCTCAGTACACTTCCAATATTCATCAATCAGCACCTACCTGAGCGTAGTCCCTCTCCAGTTGTCCTTTCTTTAGACTGTAACTCCTGCAGAGAAACAAAAGCAAAAAAATAAAACTGTTAAGACCTTCAGGTGGTAAGGCAAACAAAAGAGAAAAAAAATCAAACCTTCGCCATAAGAACTTACTATTAAATTAGTGGATACATGTGTGCATCGTTAAACACAAAGTATTTATTGTTTTTGTATTTGGATCACAGAATGAACAAAGTCCAACTAATCCCATGTTTCCCTTGATAACACCTAACAACACGAAGAGAGATAGTTCCTGTGCTCTTATCACAGCACAGGAATGTACAGAATGAAAACACAAACATGGGTTGTTACAAGAAAGATTAATGTTTGAGCAGTTTCTGCTGAATGAAATAAACACTGTCCCAATTGTTTTATATTTAGGGTGCTTTTACCTAGGATGCATAAATAAAGTGGCACTGAGAACTGACCTACTCACACAGTGTAATGTTTTTACTATAGAGATACAGCTACTGATTCAACAGCTGAACTACTTGTGTTCAAAAAAATGTTGCAAATGTTGAGTTCCCGCATGAACTCAAAAAGGACAGAGGTGGAAGATGTACAGATACAGTACATGCATTAAGGTACCTTAAACTGCCATACATTCAGGTAATAATATGAAGGTAAAAAGGAAACACTTGTCATATATATCATGTCATGTATATGTCATGTATATATTCATCTGTCATTTATCCACTTCACATTTTGTGAATTGTTGAAAATAAACCAATTGTGAGATGTCTGGAAAAAAAGCAACTATAACCAACAAACATTAGAAAATGTAAAAGAAAGCATGCAAAAACCCAGTGTAAGCATAGACAATGACATTGCAATCAATCTTAAGACACACTTATTGCAGTCCTAACACAATGGCCACCTTTTTTCAGACATGATGTAGGAGCCAGGTTTTAACTGCAACACAAAGGGTCTCTCCAGTGGACATTAGTACACATTGGGAGAGCAAGCCATGTGCCTGAAATATGATCCCTAGCCTCTCTCCATGAACCCTGCCCCTAAACTGAAGGTGGGTTCTTGAGCAAAAATAATATGTAGAGCTGTGTATTTGCAGCGTAACAGACACAAAAATAAAATCATGAAAAATAAATTATTATAAAAGACGACACTTAAAAAAACAGAGTCAACATAGGACACTCTGTCCATGGCCCTGGACTAGTGGATAGTCCGATGTCTACAGGCCTCGTTGGCGCAGTAGGCAGCGCGTCAGTCTCATAATCTGAAGGTCGTGAGTTCGAGCCTCACACGGGGCAAGTAACTTTTATAGAAACTCCCACGCTAACTTAAGTCAATGACAAAGATGAAACACAACATTAGGAGCCTGTTAGAGCCGCCAGTGTTCACTTTTCCCACACAAAACATTCCAAACAAGCAGACAACGTCAGACTTTGACAATGTCAAAGGCCCACGTGAAAATATGTTACTAAAAAGATCTGACTTAACCTTGAGGAAAAAAAACAGACATTTTTAGAACCAAAATAATCAGTTTTCTACCAATAATCCATAACTGAAAGAAATGTTGGATGTTTAAAAAAAAAAAGAAACGTCTGAGTAAGCGTTCTCAACTAATAAGCCCCAGGCCTCGTTGGCGCAGTAGGCAGCGCGTCAGTCTCATAATCTGAAGGTCGTGAGTTCGAGCCTCACACGGGGCAATTCTTTATTTTATTTTATTTTATTTTATTGTTTTTTGAACACTACAGAAACTCCCATGCTAACTTAAGCCAATGACAAAGATGAGACACAGCGTCATCCGGCTGTGAGAGCCTCCACTGTTAACTACCACACAAAACATTCCAGACAAGCAGACAATGTTAAATAAACTGTTAAAGCGCATGAGAGAGAAGTACAAGGTTCACAGCAGTTTCTTTTCCAACTTGCAGTTAATTGTAAAACAAATCATGCTATTTGGTGACATCATTAACATTAACATCATCCAAGACTTGTAATAAAAATTGGAATCCTGACATTAAATATTGACTCACAACTTCCAAATAACGCTCACATTCGAGGGCACTCTTTGATAAATTAATGCAAAAATAAACAAAATATGTGTCCTTTAAAGATTAAAATTACAGATGACAACAACCTGCACTGTTATTTCAACATAAAACAAACAAAAAAGGCACTGCTGGGATTCGAACCCAGGATCTCCTGTTTACTAGACAGGCGCTTTAACCAACTAAGCCACAGCGCCACCTGTCCAACATGACAGCTCCAGAGCCGGTGTACGCCTGTTTCTACAGCTGTCAGCCTTTGGTGACAGTACTGATGCTGGGAAACTGCTAATAATGTAAAACAAACAAACACATTGTCATTAATTTAAGCACAACATTAAAATTTAGAATTGATTGTAATTTGTCCATGAACAAAATTTATTTATTTATTATTAGAATTTTGACTTTTACTATTTCATTCAAATAGAATTTAGAAAGTTTTTTTCATGGGAATACAATGATTACTAACATTCTTACAAATATCTTACTAAAATAAGACCTGACTTAATTTTGAGGAGAAAACCAGAAATTTGCAGAACCAATAGAATCAGTTTTCTACCAAAATCCAAAACTGAAAAAATATCTGAAAGAAATGTTGGACATTTCTAAAAACTCAGAAACCTCTGTGTATGCGTTCTCAAATGATAAGCCCCGCCCTCTTTTTCAGGCCTCGTTGGCGCAGTAGGCAGCGCGTCAGTCTCATAATCTGAAGGTCGTGAGTTCGAGCCTCACACGGGGCAAGTAACTTTTATAGGTTCAGAAACTCCCACACTAACTTAAGACAATGACAAAGATAAGGCACAACATTAGGAGCCTGTTAGAGCCGCCAGTGTTCACTTTTCCCACACAAAACATTCCAAACAAGCAGACAACGTCAGACTTTGACAATGTCAAAGGCCCACGTGAGAGAAATACAAGGTTCACAGTAAATCCTGACCACAACTACTTCTTTGGAATTTGGAATTAAACTTTGGAATTTTGACTTTAACGGTTTAATTCAAAATTTAGAAATTTCTATCATGGCAATATAATGATCCAAAAGAACCAAAATAATCAGTTTTCTACCAATAATCCATAACAAAAATATCTGAAAGAAATGTTGGATGTTTTGAAAAAAAATAGAAATGTCTGAGTAAGCGTCCTCAACTAATAAGCCCCAAGATCTTTTACAGGCCTCGTTGGCGCAGTAGGCAGCGCGTCAGTCTCATAATCTGAAGGTCGTGAGTTCAAGCCTCACACGGGGCAGCGATTTTTAAAAACTACTCAAAAATGAAATAAAAATTAATTGAAATTGAACATTTGAATTTTACTGTTTAATTCAACATTCAAATAAAGTCATTTTCGTGGGAATACAATGATTACTAACATTCTTAGAAATATACTACTAAAATAAGATCTGACTTAATGTTAAGGGAGAAACCCAAAATTGGTAGAAAGAGAACTCCCATGCTAAGTTAAGCCAATGACAAAGATGAGGCACAGCGTCATCTGGCTGTGAGAGCCTCCACTGTTAACTACCACACAAAACATTCCAGACAAGCAGACAATGTTAAATAAACTGTTAAAGCGCATGAGAGAGAAGTACAAGGTTCACAGCAGTTTCTTTTCCAACTTGCAGTTAATTGTAAAACAAATCATGCTATTTGGTGACATCATTAACATTAACATCATCCAAGACTTGTAATAAAAATTGGAATCCTGACATTAAATATTGACTCACAACTTCCAAATAACTCTCACATTCGAGGGCACTCTGATAAATTAAATGCAAAAATAAACAAAATATGTGTCCTTTAAAGATTAAAATAACAGTTCCTACAGTTCCTGAACTTTGACATCTGTTTAAGCATGACATTAACATTTAGAATTAATTGTAATTTGTCCAAGAAAAATGAAATCTGAAATTACACTTCTTTTCATCGGAATATAATGATTACTAACATTCTTAGAAATATGTTCCTAAAATAAGATTTGACTTAATATTGAGGAGAAAACCAGAAATTGGTAGAACCTTTAGAATCATTGATGACATCTTACAAAATCTATTGACTTCAACCTCCATACAACAACTTACTGTCATTTCATCATAAAAAGAAGAAAAAGAAGAAGAAGAAGTGCTGGGAGTTGAACCAAGGATGACTTGTTAACCAGACAGCCACTTCAACCAACTACTCTACAGCGACACAATGTCTACCACATTAGGACCAGTCCATTTGTTCCACGTGTGATGCTTATTATTATTATTATTATTATTATTATTATTATTATTGCGTTACTATTATAAATGAACAGTTTATGTAAAACTTTAATGATTCAATGTATGATTAATTTGTGACAAGAGATTATTTTCATCATGGAACAGAGGGACTGATCTGACCCTAACTGTCTCTCTCTCCCTTGCCCAGACTAAATCTAAACCCACCGTCTAACAACCTCTCATTAGTGTTCCTCCACATCCACACTTTTCTCCATCTCTAACCTCTGTTTTTTCTGTGATACCTTTGGCAACTCAGCTTTTCTACGACCCTTTCTCTCAGTCTCCACAAAACCACTGTGCCCTCCTGAAAGACTGTAAGTTCAGACATGGGTGACGGCAGAGTCAAAGAGCAGTGTCAGCATCAGCTGTGCACTAAGAAGAGAAGGAGGAAGAAAATGGCCAGGTTTGCAGATGAGTATGTGTCTGACAGAAAACACTTAAGGGCTTAAGAGTGGACACTGAGTGTCTGCAGCATGTGTGCATTCGCGTATGTGTGTAAGTCTGGTGAGGACAAAAAAAAAAGGGCAGCGAGTTAAAAGACGAGAGTGGGGAAATGATCAAACGATGAAAAAGAGCGGAAATCAATGGTTTACAGCACACAGACTGAGATCACAGAGAACAGAACTGGGGATGTGAGTAAGACTGAGACAGAAGCAGAGAAGGGTGTGGGTTTTCACATGCACAATCATCACCAGACAAAATATAACAGAGTACTTGCATATTTTACACTTATAAAACAAGTGTTTGGAAATTTCAAAATGAAAGCTCCAGCTGTTCCTATGTTATTATTTATAATTATTTAGTACAAAGGGGTGGTGCTTTGGCCCAGGGGCAATGTCTCTGTCATTGGTGTGGAACCCCAGGGTTCACGTCCTGAACGGGGCATGTGTTTCTGAAAGGTACAGAAACTCCCATGCTAACTTAAGCAAATGTCAAAGATGAGGCACAATGTTATCAGCCTGTGATAGCCTCCAATGTTCACTACCGCACAAAACATTCCAGACAAGCAGACAATGTTAAATAAACAGATAAGACATACGTGAGAGCAATACAAGATTCACAGCAGTTTCTTTTCCAAGTTGCAGTTAATTGTAAAACAATTCATGCAATCAATGCTGCTTTGGTGACATAATTCTGAACATTAACACTGTCATCCAAGACTTGTAATTAAAAATTGGAATCCTGACATAAAATTTGACATCCTCCCAGATAACTCCCAAATAACACTGACATTCAAGGGCACTCTGAGATAAATTAAATGCAAAAATAAACTAAATGTGTGTCATTTAAAGATCCAAATTACAACAACCTGCACAGTTATTTCACCACAAATCAATAAGAAAAAGGCACTGCTGGGATTCGAACCCAGGATCTCCTGTTTACTAGACAGGCACTTTAACCAACTAAGCCACAGCGCCACAAGGGCAACTGGATTAGGACCAGTCCATGTTCTAAAATAGATACAGGTTGGAAATGATATTTGATAATGTAGACATTTCATTGGCTGTAATATTTTTCAAGGGGAATCCCTTGTTTAATACGTATTATTATTGTGCTACTATTTAAAAAAAAAGCAGCTCAGTTCATATCAAACTTTAATGAGTTATTGTCTGAGAAATCCAACCTTTTGTGTGAACTGTATGATTAATTGTGACAAGAGATTATCTTCATCATGGAACGGAGGGTCTGATTCCATGAGTCCATGTCTAATTCCTGGACATTGACATCAATTTAAGCAGGACATTAAAATTTAGAATTCATTTAAATTTGTCCAAGAACAAAATTAATTCTAAAATTAAACTTTTGAATTTTGACTTTTACTATTTAATTCAAAATGAAATTCAGAAAGTTCTTTTCATGGGAATACAAAGATTAGAAACATTCTTAGAAATATGTTACTATACTACTATACTACTTATTAGTAGTATAGTAACATATTTACTACTAATTTTGAGTTTTCTCCTCAAAATTAACCTGACTTAATTTTACGGAGAAAACCAGAAATTGGTAGAACCAACAGAATCAGCTTTCTAACAACAATCCATAACCGCTCAGAGCAGAACTTGACCAGCACGAACCGAGCCAGCCGGCTCCAAGACAAGGAACAGAACACGCTGCTCATGTGCACAACAAGAGGGTGTGTTCAAGGCAACCAAGAACCGTCAGAAAAAGTAGAACATTATACAAGAACATTAACATTTATTCCCTAACCCTCACAATAACAAAGGAACACAGAACATTATCAACGCAAAACAAGCCTCTACAGTGATTTGTACAGATAAATAAATAAATATTACCAGGCGATTAATAATATTTTTACTCTGTCCCCTAGGGGGCCAGAAAATAATTGAGAAACACTGTTTTAACTGCCACCACTGCCTCGCTATATCGGTATTGGTTCATACGGTAATCGGAAATTAAGTGTCTGGACAATATCGGCATATGGGATATCGGCAAAAAGTTAAAATCGGACATCCCTACTCTAAGTGTCAGGTGAAATAACATTCAGAGAAGAATATATTGACTGCAGTCATGTCTCAAAAGTAGCTGTTAAGTAAGAGAGTGATTAAGAGTGTGTTGTCAGAAATATTCACACGCAATTCTGAGCTAGGATTATTCAAACCAAGATCTTTGCTCTGTGGTTTGTAGCTTTCTCCCTCACTGATTCAAAGAGCTCATAAGTTGTGGTCTCTTTATTTGGTCTCTGCCTGTCCCACAAGTGAGACTTGTACACTCTCCAAAACCCAGCAGGAAGCCTACAATGTGCTTTCAAACAGCTGGATCGGCATCCAGGACTGACTGGTGAAGAAAGAGAGAGAGAGAAAAAAAACTGCACGTGTGTTCAAGTGGGAAGGAGAGAAGAGCAGAGAGTGCATAGAGTCTGCCGTCGTAAAAAGTCTTAGTCAACGTAGAAAATACGAATGTGTGAAGAATTCAGGGATGATTGCATTATTTTTCTTTAAACCAAAAAGTCTTCTAGAAATGAACGAATTAATAGAGGCACCTAAACAACGAGGAAGAAAATGGTATTGGGAGATGACTGGAAGGAGGGAAACAAGGTTTTTTTTTAATATGCAAAAGAGAAATGTAAAAAAAAAATCATACAGCAGGACAACGGGAATTTAAAAGGATTTAAAGGGAATCCTTTAACCAACTCCTTAGAAGTTGTTCTTTTCAAAAACTCTCACTCTCTTTTCAATGCATTTCTGCAGTCAGCAGACAGACTGAGATTCAAATCATCTGGCATCAGGCCAGGTCATTGTTCCATTGTAAGACCAAAAATCTGTCAAATAAGTGCAACTGGAGCAAATATAGCTTGTTGGCTGCACACATTTTGTCCAATTCACATTTAATATTTCATTCCTCATTGTAACAGGAAGGAAATTGGCATAAAAGCAGGACAAACAAACATGACGGAAGTCAAATGTGACACAGAACATCAGAATTTCAGACAATAGAGGGACACAAAGAAAAACGTACCCAAAAGAGAGGTTTAAAACCAAAACCACTAAGAAGCAAACACAACTAACCTTTTATTTTTCAAACAGCATGAGAGTCAATATGGACAAGAACCACAATTGAGAATGAATTCCAAATGAGACATCTTTTAAAATGATGCTCATGTTAAGGAAAAACAATTGCTTAACTTTTATTTAAACATGTTCTTCTTCTTTCACAAATGCTCATGTTAAGGAAAAACAATTGCTTGACTTTTATTTAAACATAGAGCTTCTTCTTTTTTCACAGACATTTATGTGTATTTCATAGTGTAGCAGTTCGCACGCCTGCCTCGGAAGCAGAAAGTCCTGGGTTCAATTCCCAGCAGAACCACATGCTTGATCGTTAATCCTGCTCTTGTAAGTCTCTTTGAATATAAGCGTCTGCTAAATGTATAAAAAAAAAATATATGTATATTACAGTAAATGACCGTTACAGAAAACAAAGGTTTTTTATTGTCCGACAACGTCATTCATACTGAGATGCCAACTACTGCATTAAGGAGATCCAAAGTCAAGAGGCACAGACAGCTGCGACTCACACTGATGCTTAACTTTCCCCTTTACTTTATGTCACTCTTGAAAATGGTTTGCATTCTCGACAGAACCAATGTTCTTACTGCTCATGGCACTATAAACTAGAACCACCACCAAAGAACCAACTGAAGATGTGACCTCTGAAGATGATTTAAGCCACATCCCACAGTGCCCATGGCCTAGTGTAACAATACGACTACTCCTTACCTCATGTCTTCCAGCAGGTCACATTCAGTCTGGTTTTTTATGTGCAGTCTTGTCATCTGCTCCGCGTGAGTGTTTTTCAGCTCCTGTGTCACTTTGACCTAGAGAAAAATAAAAAGACATGTCAGGTAGGGGATTTGTCATTTCAACACCTGTCTGCTCCTCAATGCATCTTGGCTCACGTTCACTCCTAGAACTAAAAAGAAAACACATGGAAACACAAACACAAAGGAAAAGACACATGACAGGATTTGTTATATCGTCTGTGGTTTTGGTGATTATCGTACAGTTTAACAAGCTGGGAGAATAACAAACGCCTCTTCGCCTGAGGTCATATTATAAATAAGAACAAGTGATCTTTTTTCTCTCCATGGTCAGATCAGCCAATTAACTTAAAATGGATGATGCAATTAGTCATTAAAGTCATAGACTAATGTGACTAATGCTTATCCAAGAGAATGCCTCACAAGTAACTCAATTTAATTGTTATGTATTAGAGATGGTAATATTTTGTGCCACAAATAAAATGTACAGAGGAGTGAGGAAAAATGATGTGTCTGTTGTTTTGTGTGCAGTTGAACAGGAGAAGATGAATCAGCACTACACTTCTACGATGGCCACAAGACAAAAGACTACTTCTATAGCACTCTCTTATGGTTAAAATTAGGATGTCTTGATACATCTTCTTCATGTCCAAGACCGATACAAATACTGCTACTTATATTATCTCCTGACACTGATATCAATCTGATAGAGACAATAGTGTCCCCGTTTATGGCATGTCGCGCAACGTTAAGTTGAGCATTCGGGCTTAGGTATCGGACGGGCTACAGTTGGGTTTTTATTTTATGTTTGATCCTGAAATTTTACCAATTTCAGACTGTTACCTTTCCTTAGTATAAGATCAAGCCATCGTTAGTAATAATGCACTGAAGTGCAATTTGCTGAGACAGAAGAGGACAAGTTGTTGAGTGTGTAAAGAAATCAGGCCTTC